GGTTATAATAAAAAAAAACAAAAAAAAAACGGTATTCTGAACTCGATATTTCTTTACATCCTTTTTCTTTTATAACCCGTTTTATAAAAGAAAACATTAGGCAATATGTTTGTTACAATATACCATTTACAATGCATACTATGTACTAATGTACGCCTTTCCTTATGTCTCTTTCTCTGTGTATACCTTATTGGCTACCCTTAGTTCAATTTTCTAATTCCAACCCCGAGTAATAAGTACAGGAACGAGGCAGATGCCATGCGTGTTTTCAATCCAAAGACAATAAAGTTCAAACGAAAATGTACCTTGTGTAATAATTTTGAACTAATAATAATACTTTTTTTTATACAACGGTATTAATTTATGGCAAATCAATAACAGTTCGTGCATAGTCTTCTTCCCACGACAATAATTATGAGTGTAAAAATTATGTATAAACCGTTTTCTGGTGAATATTCACTTGACCTGGAATCAAGCATTTTGAGAATCACCTGGCGCCAGTAAGGTGAACACTCTTTAAACAAATTAAAGGCGAAATATACTACTCTCCAAAATTAACGCACCACCTAAAATGGACCATGATTTTAAAACTATGTTTCTTTTGAATTTTAATTGGATTTCGATGATTTATTTCTCATATTGTAGGTATGTTTTTAATTAATGACTCTATTAATGTTTTTCGGGAAATTTCAACGTTTTACCTATATACAGGGTGTAAAAATAAAGTTGTGCAACACTAATTTTGCAACACCCTGTGGAATGTACTAGAAAAAAATGCTACATGTTGTTAATATTTTGAATTGCTTTATTCTTTCTTTACATTTTCGTAAAAAAATCGTCACGATATCTCTATTATCAAAAAAGAAAAGTAATTTTAAGCTATTTTTCTTATGTATCTAATTGGATTTTTATGCATTGCTGACCTTTTTTTAAGTAATTGCTGTATTAATGTTTTCTGGAAAAAATTAACATTTCACCCATATATGGGGTTTAAAAATAATTTGATTTTTCATCTGACTTTGCAACACAAAAAGCTTTATTTTTTTCAACATTTTCGTTAAAAAATCATCGATATCAAAAAGAAAAGTAAGTTCAAATTTCGAAAAATTGTTTTGCTATTTTGCGTATGTTAGTTAGTTGACATTCACAGTATTTTAAGAAATCTGAGCTGCAATGAATGTGTTCATATAATAACTTTAGCTGATGTATCTTATACTAAAATATCACGAGTCATTAAAATGTTTTTAAGACACAAATGACTTTACGAGACGTTGTGGACAAGGAAGAGGAAGAGGTACAACACTAACCTCGTGTGTCGTTGTCACGACAAGATCAGTTTATCAAGCTTTGTGCTATAAGAGAACGTTTTCTCACAATGAGATATTTACAAATACAAGTAGCAAATGTTTATAATATATAAATTAGTAGAAGCACTATACAAAGGCGTCTCGCTGAACAAGATTTGCATATAAGGATACTAGTAAGAGCATCAGCTTTAAAATTAAATCATCGTAGAAGTAGGTTACAATTTTCCAGAGAGCATCTTAAATGGAATGTTGATGACAGGAAGCACGTGTTGTTCACTGACCATACGAAGTATTGCTTATATTGCTGAGATAAACATGTGAGAATTATTACTTTACTTTATTATTACCTATTACTTTATACAGTCGAGAATCTGTTATGGCTTGGGGAGGAATATCTCTTACAGCGCGAATGGACTTGTTACTTTACAAGACGTTCATTAACAATTAAAAGGTATATTACAGACATTTTGTCTAACCATGTAGTTCTATTTGCTCCTTACATAGCAAATCATTGTCTTTTATTGCATGATAAAGCTTGACCACATATTGCACGTGTATATTTAGACGAGGATGGAATACAAACCATGAACTGGCCACCCTGCAGCCCTGATCTCAATCCCATAGAGAATTTGTCGGATATTATATATCATCAACTTAGGAGCCGACAACCAGTATCTGTCTCTCTTGACGACCTAGAAGTTATGGAGAGATAAGTTTGGGATGCAATTGATCAAGACCGAAGCCGTTTTAATTAGTATGCCTCGTCGCTGTGAAGAAGTAATTATATGTAGAGGTAAAAATACTCGTTATTAAGTGCTTTTGGAAAGGGGATTTGTTAAAGATTATTTAGGTTATGTTTTCTTAGGCTTTATTTGTATTATATATCAATATAGTTTATGTAAGTAATGTTTTCTTTACTTTAAATGTTAATAAAAACTTCTTACATTTAAAGTTCTCTATAATCTTTGATAATAGAGATATTCATGATAATTTTATTACAAAAATCTTGCAAAAGAATAAATCTATCCTAAAATGTTAATAAAGCGTAGTGTTTCCTTCTAATAAATTTCACAGGGTGTTGCTAAAAACGATGAATAAAGACATCTTTATTTTTACACCCCGTATACAAATAAAACGTTAATATTTTTTAGAAAACATTAATATTTTGAATTAATAAGAATAGACCTATAACATGAAGAAAACATCATCAAAATCCAAATATTTGTGCGGAAGAAAAATAACTTCAACCTTATGGTACATTTAAGGTGGTCCGTTAATTTTGGGCAGTAGTGTATATCAAATAAAACAAGATAGATTTAGTTAGATAGATTTAGTTTTGTATATAGCATAGTAATTAAACTTTTTACAATTTTTGTCTCGGCATATTACCACTATAATAAATACAATTTTTCAGTAATTATGTGATACTCTTCATTTCAGTGATAGTATAACTGAAAGGCCACTGATGATCAGCCTTCCAACAGTGTGAATGGTATTATTATAATGGTTTCAATAGTCATTTTATTCCAGACGGGTCTTTAGTGTTACTATTGTGAAAGTACTATTATTACATGAGAAATTAGTGTAAATTGTCAATTCGTCAAACGCAAATTCCACTATCGACCGCCACGCTCTAGTACAACTTCACATTGTGTGAGATAGGTAGTTATTTTGATAAAAAACAGTTCATCAGATTACTCTGCATCTAGCAGTAAACACATCAATCAACGTGTTATTGTTAGCCATTTCTACGCTGTATAAACTCAATCCGGCAACAAAAAATTCCATTCATCAATGATGAGCTTAGTTCTAACAATGTGGTATCTGGAAACGCTACACGTGCAGCAAAAACACTTTTTGATTTTATCGTGCCTATTTACCAAACACACAGGATTAAACTAGATTAAACAAGGACGTTAATAAAATTAAAAAATGTATAATTGGTAACAAAATAAAATAAAAAATATCAATTTATACAGTATAGATCTAAAGTTTCTCCCAACTGTTTTCTGAACCATAAAACTTGGTAGGTATTAAGCTTTTAGGAACTTAACTTAGGCAATTCACTATTTTTTAAGCTTTATATTGTTCTAAAGATAGTTTCTTAAGGTATGTTAAAGCAATTAATATTTTAATGGGAATAAGCAATAGGGCTAAGTGGTGCAAAAATGAGACAGCCTAAATTTTGGTTAAAAACAAGACATTTAATTTTTCCTAATGCAAAAAAACAATAACTAATTAACTTTAAACTTAATAAAGAATACCTTACAAATTACTTCCATATATAAACAATTGAAGTATGTAATGAATAATAAATAAACGTAGACACAAACATGAGAAAAAGCTATCGCATCTGACTGTGCAATTTGCTTAAAAAAACTTTTAAATTGTAAGACACCACTAAGTTTAAAAACGAGACACTTGCCAGTTAAAAAACAATACGGAGTTTTTATACCTTTCACAATAATGCCGAAGATTTACGTTCCCAAAAAGCGCCCCTACGACAAAAAGGACATGGAAACAATCCTAAAGCTAATAGAGGATGGCATTTTATATCTTAGAAGTGCAGCTACAAAGTTTAAAATTGACAAATCTGGTCTTTCAAAAAGACGTACTGTGTACTTGTTAAACAGGGAAGAAAAACTTTTCTAATCAAAGAAATTGAAAAAGACTTAAGTGATAAGATAAAAATTATGGCAAAATGGGGGTTTGCTCTCACCAAACCGGAGATACAAGCAATAGTTCAAACATATGTACAAGAAAACCACCGTACTACCCAGGAAGGAAAGCGTGGCAAAAAAATTTTTCAAGCGTAATAGAAAGAAGTCAAAAAAAGCTTGAGCAACTGGAAAGATGTAGAAAGTCAGCTACAAGTGATCCATTCATCATATTTGGCTTTTACGATCGCCTGAATACTTGCATATCTAATTTTAAATTGCAAGACAAGCCCGGTCACACCTGGAATTAAGACGAGACCAGTTTTCTTCCACCAATAAAAGGCGTTCTATGTCAAAGTAGACAAGGGGTCAGGAAAGGAAAATACCACCGTAATGGCCTGTATTTCAGGAATTGGTACTTTGTTGCCTCCTCTAATAATTTTCCAAGGGCAAAATTTATGGAGCAGTTGGAAAGGTCAACCTTTTGTTAAAATATAGTTAGTAATAAAAATATGTTTTTTAGGTAAGGCCGATTTACCGAATACATGCTACGCAGCCTCTGAAAAGGGATGGATGACTTGTCAGATTTTTCAAGAGTGGTTCCAAAAGTTTTGTGCACTGGTTCATGAACGCCCACTTCTTATCATACTGGATGGACATGTTACCCATTTGGATAAATCGACGATAGAATTGGCTGTGCAAGAAAATATAACTTTATTGAAACTCCCTGCTCATACAACTGACTTGCTGCAACCGCTTGACAGATGTTGCTTTGGTCCATTGAAATTGAAATGGAATGAAGCTTTGATTAACTGGCAAAGACTTAATCAGAGAAAACCATCTAGAAGCGAATTTAGTGATTTGATTTGTAGCATTTGGAATGAAGGTTTATCTGCAGAAATTATTAAATCTTCTTTTAAAAGGTTGGATATTTCCATGTAATAAGAACAGATATCCAGCAGAACGCTTAGATCCTGCAAAGCTACTTAGATATAAAGAACATGGATGTTTAAAAATCCACTTGATATTTTCGAAGATTGCGATGAAGAAACTCCACTGCCGCAGACCGAACAGTTTATTGAGTCTGGTTTCAGATCAATCTAACAGTGCTTCTCCCAAGCCATCTTGCTCCTTTGAATTATTACTACTGGAGAAAATTCGAAGAACCCCAAACATAACAGCAAGAAGAAGAAAGATAGACTCTATGGCAAAAGTCCTAACAACAGAAGAGTACTTAAAGGAAATACAGGAGAAAGAACAAAATAAGAAAAGTAAAGGTGAGAAATCTACAAAATCACGAAAGAAACAAAAGGCGAATAAAACAGTAGTTGAAAGTGACAGTGAAAGCAGCATTGACGAACAGCAAGTTTACCAAGATGAAAGCGATGTAGAGGATTTGACTCTAGAAGATATTATTGAAGATGACTGTGATGACGAGCCTTCAGAAAATGGAGAAACAAACCTTGAAATTACGGAAGCATATGAACTTAGGGAAAATGATTTTATCCTAACTAAATTTAATACTAAGAAGACGCAAGTTTACTACGTGGCACAAATTCTTAAAATTTTTAAGAGCGATGTAGAAGTAAAATATCTGAGGCGCAAAGGATTTAAATTTATTTTTCCAGCCATTGAGGAAAAGTACTTCATCGACAAAAGTGACATAGAAACGAAACTGCCCTGCCAGAAATAGAAAGTACGACCTGTCGTATCTCTCAGCAATATTGGTTTCCTATCGACTTTGAAAAGTACGTCGTTCAATAATATGTAGTACAAAGTACCTAGAATAATAATGTTTTTTACTTTAGTTCTTTAAATCCTAATAAAATCTTTTTTACCTCGTTTTGCTTAGTATGTTTAACTTAATTGTTTTCTTTTTAGTTTAATAGCAACATATTTTTGTATTTAGTTATGTGAGTTTTCTCTAAGAATATTCTTACAATTTAAAACCTATGTATTTGATTTAGAAAACGCTTAAAACCTTTTTATGTGTATCGTTTTTATTCCCCAGTGGCTCATTATTTGCACACTAATATAAAATAACTAATAGCGCAGAAAATACAGTGTCTTATTTAAAGACAGGGGTGTAAGGTTGCGTTATAGAGGTAGTACCTTATATCGGAACGACCACATCGAGCGTCATAGACGGGAGATGGTTCTTGATATCTGGTCCTCATAAGGCACCTAACTCTCACTTATGGCTCCACGTGCCACACCCCGGGCAACTGCATTGGTCTGCAGGCTAAACTAAGTGAGGGTAACCAGATATGGTGAAAATTTACCGAAAGATTACCGGTATAAGTAATCTCCCAGTTGTTGGCCAACAGCTGAGGGTGGATGAGCTGACAGGTGGTAGGGCAACTCATTGTCCTGAGGCTGAGAAATCGACCTCAAAGGCGGAAGAGCTAATATATTAGTCAACGGCATTGGGATGTAGCAGGCAACGAGAAACCACTACAGTAAAGATCCAATGGATATCTCTAGTATAGTTATCATGGCATGATAAATAATCAACAAAATCTTACTGATCATGGAGATCGGAGGCCAAGATCCGGCAAGAAAAGTGACAAGGCTTTTCGGGTCGTCAACCAGCGAAAACCTTGTCAAAATATAAATATTACCAACGAAATAATGAAAATTGGAACATGGAACGCTACCAGCATGTATGAGCCAGGAAAAACACACAACGTTATTCAAGAAATGCAAAGAATGAATATTAGCATTTTGGGTATAAGCGAAACCCGATGGTCGGGAAATGGATGCTGTCATATTAAAGATCACATAATCTACTACTCCGGTAACCAAGATCCCCAACATCGTAATGGAGTGGGTATAATGTTAAAAAAGTCTCTATCTCGTCATGTCCTGAACTTCCTACCTTTGTCCGATCGTGTTATGATGTTACAAATAAATACAAACATCACAAAAATGAATATAATACAAGTATATGCACCAACAGCGGACAAAGAAGAACATGAAATAGAAACATTTTATGAACAAATTGACTCGGCATTGAAACTGACCAAAAAAAGGGACATCACAATAATAATGGGTGATTTGAATGCTAAAGTTGGAAAAGGAAGGACAGATGATTTGGTAGGAAATTTTGGATTAGGGAATAGGAACGAGTCTGGTGAAAGACTGGTACAATTTTGCCAGGAAAACAGAATGGTAATTACAAATACCTTTTTCGAACTACCTAACAGACGTTTATACACATGGAGATCTCCACAAGACACAGAACATCACATAGTGAGAAACCAAATAGACTATCTACTAATCAATGAAAGATACAGAAACAGCATAATGTCAATTAAGACATACCCTGGTGCAGATATATCATCTAATCACAATCCACTAGTTGCAAGAATGAAAATAAAACTAAAGAAAATTAATAGCACAACCCCCAAAAAAGCAGTTGATATCAACAAATTACGAAAACCAGAAGTAAGAGAACAGATGATACAAGAAATTGATGAAGCAGTAACAAAGATACAACCCATAAAAGACAACACACAAGTTAACATCAATGAGAATTGGACAGACATTAAAACAGCGTTAATGAAACCAAGCATAAGTCACCTCCATAAAAGTAAAGAATATAAAAAAGAATGGATGACAGATGAGATACTGAACTTAATGGATGAAAGAAGAAAACAGAAAAACAAAAAGAACCAGAAGTATAAAGAGATACAAAAAGAAATTCGTCTAAAAATACGCACAGCTAAAGAAAACTGGTACGGGGAAAAATGCGAAGAAATCGAACAACTACAAAATAAACACGACAGCTTTAATGCACATCGGAAGATCAAAGAATTGACGAGGAGACAAAGTAACAGACACAACATATTAGTAGACGAGAGTGGAAACATTATTATGGACACAGAAGAAAAATTAAGAGTCTGGAAACAGTACATAGAACAACTATTTAAAGATCAAAGAGACAATGTAGATAACGAATACATAAACAGTGACACAGGACCAGAAATAACAAGAGATGAAGTGGAATACACGATTAAAGAAATGAGGTCGGGGAAGGCTACAGGCCCAGATGAACTACCAATAGACATAATTAAACTCATCAAAGGCAACAACTTAATAAAGATCGTGGAACTATTTAACAGCATTTACAAATCTGGTATCATACCTAATGAATGGCTAGTAACAACAATAATAGCCATACCCAAAAAGTCTAATGCGAGACAATGCTCGGAATATCGCACCATCAGTCTCATGTGTCATATATTAAAGGTCTTCTTAAAAATCATTCATCGGAGAATATATAAAAAATTGGAACTTGACATCGGACCCTCCCAATTTGGCTTTAGAGACGGACTAGGAACTAGAGAGGCACTGTTTGCTTTTAATGTTCTAACACAACGATGCTTAGACGTAAATCAGGACATATTTGTGTGTTTCCTAGACTATAACAAAGCATTTGATACAGTAAAACATAGGCCACTGATGCAAATACTGGAAAATAAAAATATTGATACAAGGGACATGCGAGTGATAAGGAATCTATACTACAAACAAGAAGCTACAGTACGAATTAACAGCTCGATATCAGATAGAATACAGATCAAAAGAGGTGTTCGGCAGGGCTGTGTGTTGTCTCCAACCTTGTTCAATATCTACGCGGAAGAAGTTATTAAAAAAGCTCTTATGAACGAAAAAGCCGGAATAAAGATCAACGGTCACCCCATTTGCAATATCCGATATGCTGATGATACCGCGCTCATAGCAGAAAATATTGACGACCTACAGAGATTACTAAACAAAGTGGTAGAAGCAAGTGAAGAATTTGGTCTGTCACTGAATACAAAGAAGACCAAATTCATGATAATTACAAAGAAACGTATCAATAATATCAACTTACATGTAGGACAGAATCTCATTGAACGAGTACAAAATTACAATTACCTCGGAACAAATATTAACGAGTCAAACGAATACACCAGAGAAATAAGAATAAGAATAGAGAAAGCCCGCAGTGCATTTAACAATATGAAACAAATGTTGTGTAGCCGTAACCTAAGCCTAAAGCTGAAAATACGAATGCTTAAATGTTATGTTTTCTCGGTCCTGTTATATGGGGTGGAGGCGTGGACACTAAATAAGCAATGTATGGGTAAGCTGGAGGCATTTGAGATGTGGGCGTACCGAAGAATGTTAAAAATCTCCTGGAAGGATAAGATAACTAACCAAGTTGTATTAGACAGGATGAACAAACAAAAGGAGGTCGTATTGAGTGTTAAAATGAGGAAACTACAGTACCTGGGACATATTACACGTGGGAATAAATATCAACTGTTGCAACTAATTATGCAAGGAAAGATTGAAGGTAGGCGCAGCATAGGTAGGAGAAGAATGTCATGGTTGAGAAACCTCAGGGAGTGGTTTGCTTGCACTTCCATACAATTGTTCCGAGCGGCAGCCTCCAGGGTCAAAATTGCCATGATGATAGCCAACCTTCGTAGCGGAGATGGCACGTGAAGAAGAAGATTTAAAGACACCGTTTTTAAAAAATTACGCTCTTTATTATAAACATTATAATTTTTTTTACCCAGCCCTACAAAAAATCCCTGAGTAGCCATTCGCAAACGTTTCGGTTTTTTTGTTTAACCTATCTCTAGCCATGTAATTTCCGTCCCCAACTTTCAACCTCCTATAAGGATCCCAATGTGGTAGGCAAAATAATTGTTGTGATCGTAAATGCTCTTCTATATGTAAAAATGTTTTTAAGTTTTGATTTTTTACCTGCATAATTTTGAAAATTATTTATTTTTAAAGAAAAATTTAGATTGCAAAATTATACTGCAAAATCTATTAAATCGATAACGATTTAATCGATCGAAACATATTAAAGAGTTTTCTTTTCGGAATATGACGGTTGTGTGATTGATTTTAGTCTTGAAAATAAACTCACAAAAAACCTTAACTGTTTTTGTGTTTTTTAAAATTTATTTAATAATAATACTTTCTAATTTAAAAATAAGCAGTGTCTTATGTAGAATTTAATTACAAACCTGTTCTGTTCGATACAAAATTATTCTAACACTAATAGTTCTTGAGATGTACTGACAATTCAGTATATAGTATACGTTTTAAAGGAAACAAATTTAAAATAAAATTTAAAAAGATTTTACGCAGCTAAGATCTGACATTGGCTCTCAGAATAAGGCTTATTAAATGTTATATACACAGTGTACTCTACTATGGAGTTGAATCATGGACATTAAACCGAAATACAATAAATCGTCTTAACGCGTTTGAAATGTGGACATTTCATGATGGAGTCAAAAGTGTTAAGAAGAATAGGCAGAGAGAAGGAAATGGAAAATACAATAAAAGAAAGGAAATTGCAATATCTCGGACATGTAATGAGAGGCGAAAGATTCAACATCTTGAGACTCATAGTTTAAGGAAAAATAGAGGCCAGGAGAAGCGTAGAATGAAAACGCGTTTCCTGGTTGAAGAACCCGAGGGAGTGGTTTGGTTGCAGCGCGAGGAAATTGTTCAAAGCAGCTGCCTCCAAGGTCAGAATAGCCATGATGATTGCTAATCTTCGTCGCGGAGAAGGCACTTAAAGAAAAAGATTTGATTTTTCTTTTATTTTCATTTTTTTAAGGGTGTTTAATATTTGAAATTTATCAAATTCTCTATTTTTAATATATTGATGTTTACTTGGTC